GCCAATAAGGCAAACTCACTCAGTAATACCACCAGCAGCCAATGCCCACAACCTCACATCCTTAATCTAAGGCCCAACAACAGTTATTGTATATAGTCTGCATGCGTTTATAGTTGCTAAGAGTTTTACAAATGTATTAATTGACAGAGCTCTGGTATAATGCAAAGAACTGGACATTCAAATGCTGATAAGTAAGGAGCCCTAATGGAGAGGTTAAAGCACAAAGCCCGTGGTATGAACTCATCAGCTGTTCCATGGGATAGAGACATGGCAGTCTGCTTCTGGAATGTTTAATGACCTGCAAACCCTATGAGACAATTCTATTCTACATATACTGTCACTGAGTGAATAATTACCCCATTGCAATGAATACTCCAGTAAATCATTTCCGCTGCACCTACTGTGCTTAAACTAAGCTAGATTTAGTCTCTTTCAAATAGCAGTAGTAAGCTTTCAGTCAATGGAGGCTAAAGACAGATTTCTTCTGCCTTCAAGTAAAAATCTGTTTAGAATCTGTAGTGGCACTGTGGCTAAGGCATTCGGGTGCCAACCAAAATGGCAGCAGCTGGAGCTCACTAGCTGCTTCCAGGGAGAAGGAGGACACAGTCAGCTTCTGTCAAGATCTACAGCCTTGGAAACCCTGGAGGGTATTCTACTCTGCCCGTCCTGGAGAGCAGCTCTGAGTCAGAAGCGAGCTGATGGCAGAGGGTTTGATCTGCGTTTGGAAACACATATCTAAAAAATATTCTGTTGAGGCATTTCATTTTAACTTTTGCACTGCAATCCCAGAGGCATACGGTTCAAATCCATCAGATGCTCTGCTGGAGAAGGAGCGACAATCTCCTCCTGTACCAGTCAGATCCAATTTGACGGTACATGCACAAAAAAATAACAATAATTTAAAAAATCTATAACTTGAGTGTGTGAGGGTCTATTTTAGAAAATTACCAAAGCATAATGTAGTTCAGTACAGGCAGCCCCTGGGTATTCAGTCTGTCCTGAAGTCTGTCCTAAGTCAACACTGTTAGGTACAACTCTCACATAAGGCCAGTGAGATGTCTGTCTTAGTACAGAGACTACAGTGAACCTTTTTATGCCAAAACCACTGCAGAGTCTTTAACACACTTGTTAGGTGCCTCTGAATTGGCCCCAACTCATAGCAGTTCTGGGTACGGGAGAATGAAATCCAACCCACTCCCCATCATCCTCACAATCTGTTGTGTTTAAGTCATGGTTGCAGCTACGGTGTCAATTCATGTCACTGAAGGTCTTTCTCTCCTTCACTGACCTTCTGCTCTTCCAAGCATGAGGTTCTTCCCCAAAGAGTGGTCCCTGCTGATAACATGCTGTAAGTACACAAGACAAAGTCTTCTAAGAAGCACTCTGACTGCTCTTCTTCTAGGACTTAATGTTTGTTCTTCTGGCAATCCATGGTAATACAGTAACAATAGTAGTAATAATAAAGTCTTGGTACACACTGTTTAGTAATACCTGTTGGTTATTACAGATCATTGAATACACCTCAAGCCTTTAATGAGATTTACAGGAGTTGATTTGTACCTAACTTGACATTTATAACCCCAGGCTTAGCAGTATTCAAGTAAGAGACTTGAATACATACAGATCTCCTAACGCATCAAATTATTTGTAAAATGACCGTCGTTTTCTCAATTTAGATTTCATATTCCAACTTGGTTTACAGGTGCCCCAGTGGTTGCCCATCAGAAGTCTTCCTTTTAGCCTATGGCCTCATTGACAGGTTTCAACCATAAACTCCAGATAAAACCTCCCCTACCTGTCTGCCAAACTCAAAAATTTTGGGCAGACCTTTCTCCTCTGCTCTGGTGTCATTTCTAACTCTACTTGGATGTCTACCTAGTGTGGTGTCTCGTCTGTAATACAATAATGCATATGCTAGAAGGAGTTAACTAATCTCTTATGTCACCAGTTTCACAAGTTCCAAATTCAAATGACTGTATTATCCTCACTAAACCTGCTCCTCTCCCCATAGTTCCTATCAGCAAAAAGTATCATCACTGCCCAGTTGCCAAATCACAGAAGCCTAAGTGCCAAGTTTCCTCAGTTGCCACACTCACTGGCTCCAAGGGCTGCTAAGTCACGGTCCTACATATTACAGAGCACTCTCCCTTCACCCAGCCTCACCGCCACTGTTGTCAGGCCTTCATCACTTCTTTAGATTCCTTCGCCCTAATTCTCTCTGGGGCAGCTCTGGCAGCAGTGCTGTTGTGTGTACTGTAGAGTTGGAACAAACCCAGCTGACCCTCTGTCAGGCTGTTAATTGCACAGGAGATTGCCCATCCTTCTCCTGTGGAGCAGCTAGTGTCCTCGAACCATGTGCCCTTGGGATGGCAACGCAGCTTCCTGCCACTAGGTCACCCACCAGAGCTCCTGGTAGTAGTGCAGTATGTAGCAAACACGGTTACTAACCCGAAAGGCTGTTCAAATCTACTAGTGGCTCCTTGGAAAAAGTAGAGCAGCCCCTTCCTGTTAAGATTTATAGCCTCAGGAACTTGATGAGTTGAAAGCATGACTTGACAGCTGTGATCAAGTGAACTCATCTCCATGCTCAAGGCATTAGAATTCTTCCCCAAATTGATTTTTTTTCCTGAAATCTCTACTGAAGTACAAATGATTAGTCACCCAAACCAGAAAGCTAGTTATCCATGCCAGAAACAACCACTCTCTCATGTGATTACTGGTGTCTATGCAATGCTTTGCTTAGTCAATGCCATGCTTTAGCAAAGAGCAGGGCTGTCCCACAGGATTTCTGAGCCAGCAACAGGCTTGGCTTCACCTCTAAGGGATCAGATCACCACATCTTTTATCTCAAAGTCACTGATGGGTTCCAGCAACTCGTCCTTCAGGTATCAGCTGAGAGCTTAACTGCTGTGACACCATGGCTTCTTGGAGTTGTCACAGACTTTCAAGAAATAGAAGTCTGATTAACATTACATGGTCATGTACAAAGTTAATGTTTTATCCTTAATTGTGTAAATTTGACATACAAAATTCTCAGGGGACCGCATATATGCTCAAGTTCCTGCAAGGTCTCCAATAAAGTTAATGTTTTATCCTTAAGTGTGTAAACAGAAGGTTCTCGCAGGAGACTGCACACTTCCTCAAGTTTCATTTTTCTTGTCTTTTTACTTAACTGCTAGGTTTCCCCTAGCCCTGTTTCCTTATAGCAGTGCTGCAGCCCCTCTACCTCTTCATCTCCATCCCCCTTTAGCAACTTCAGCTCAGACATCATCTTCTCTTACAAGCCTTCCCTAAGTCACATCAGCAGTGGGTACCTGCTTCTTTTATTATCCCAAGAACATCCCATGCATGCTTCAGACATAGCCCTCGTCTTTCTTAATTATAATTTTCTTTTTCTCCCTTGCTGTGTACCGTCAAATTGGATCTAATGGACACAGGAGGATACAGCCACTCCTTCTCCAGCACAGCATCTGGTGGATTTGAACCGCACACCTTCAAGATTGCAGCACAGCTTCCTGCCACTATGGCACCAGAGCTCCCTCTTAAGTAATTATTTTTTGAAAGGTTACATCTTTAACTTCTATATCCCAGACGCTGAGAATATGGACTAGAGCACCATGGTAGGTACCATTGCACTGGTTCTGACTCACGGTGATCCTTGCAGAACAGAACTGAACTGAACTGAACTCTGCTGGTTCTCATCATCTTTGCTACATTTTTAAGTGAAATGGCCCCTGTGCTAATTCATGTCACTTTCAACAACCCTCTCCTTGACCATGCAGGACTTCCCTTTCTGGGGCTAGCCCTTCCTGAAAAGATGCCCACGTGTCAGACGATGCCTTGTCATCTTCACATCTAAGGAACCACTCTGGCTGTACTTCTCCAGAGACACATCTGTTTGGTCTTTTGCAGGTACTCCAAATATGTGCTGCAACCAGAAGCATCTTAACTATCTCTGTAATGTCCGTTAGACTGAGAGGGCATTGCAAAATAACCGTGTGGCTGAGGAAATAAACAGGGATAACTTAAAATAGCAGGGATAATAAGTTCAGGTTATTATGCAAGGCAAAGCTGTGCAGTCGTGGAGACAAGAGAGATCTACTGCTAGAGAGGGGGTTGTGATTAATTATCAAAAGTAGAAAAACACATTTAAGAAACCCTCAGCTTTTAACCTCAAAAGCTGGCAAAATCTTTACTATTAAAAAGACAGCGATGAGAGGTGACTTAAAAAAAAAAAAGAAAGAAAGAAATCAACTCCTTCCTTTAGTACATTCAAAGAAAACTCTAGCCAATACACAAAACCTTAACTACCGCCAAGTCACGGTTGTAAAGCAAGCGTCTTTCCCTCAACACACACCGGCCTGCAACAATTCCCTTGCAGATTCGGAGAGACTAAGAGGATCCTAGAGAAGGGGACATCTGACCGCAATTCAAACGCAAGGCCCCTAACCCTCAGCGAGCCGAGCCTTTCCGTAGCTGAACCTCCGGGTTTTCAGAAGCTGTAAATCCCAGGAGGAGATCGCCCGTGGAACATAGAGTGGATTCGAACCACTGCCTTCGGGATGGCAGCGCAGCGCCAGGCCAGCAGAGCGCGTCTTCCGCGAGGAGTGTTCAAATAGTCCTCCCGGGAAGGGAAGCGGGGCACTGGCCGCCTTGTTACAGGCGAGGTGTCCCGGAGTGCCGGAGGCCCGGCCCGATGGAGGGGAGGGCGGAGGGGACAGGACCTCAGAGAAACCTCTCCCTGCACGCAAGCGCGTGGAGCGAACCCTGACGAACAAGCCTGGGGAAAAGCCTCTACCCGCAGATACACTTGTGCAGACGCGCAGAGTCACCTCGTTGCCGTGGAAACCACGCCAATCACTTAACCCCTCCCGGGGACCCAGCGACCCACTCTTCTACGCCAGGGATTGTGCGCTGGAACAATTTAGGGTCGTGAAAGCAATGGTGTCTCCTTTCACCTTCATCAACTCCCTCCAGCGCTCGTCCCCCTGAACGCCTACCGAATAGAGAAGCATGACCGCGCTAGGACCGGTGGAGCCCACGGATAAACAAGGGTTAGGCGGACTGGAGGAATCCATGGCGCCGCTGCCGGCCCAGGCGAACCTGGAAGTCCCTGCTAAGCGACGGTGGTGCTGCAGCGATTGGGGGCGGATCTCCCAAGTAGGGCGGCACAACCTCGCCTAGGGCGGCAGCACCCTCTGTGGCCACTTATAAGGACCCCAGGCGCCGCCATCTTAAGCAGGACGGAAGCCGCGTGGGGACTTGTCGCGCGCATGCGCAAACCGCCAGGAACTCGGAAGCCCGCCGGGAACCGGAAGTCGAGGCTCCACGGGCACTGTCGGGACCCGGACTCCGCGATGGAACCAGAGCAGCCGGTTGTCCCCGCGCCTGCCAGCTCTCAGGCTCTTCTGGACAGTCTCCTCCAGAATCTCTACGACCTTGGTGAGTGCGAGGCCTCGGGAGCCCGCGTGGAGAGTGGAAGGGGCTTTCCGATTTCTTCCTCCGTCTGCGCTCCGGTGGCGTCACTAGGGTTCCTGCCGTCACTCCTGTTCGAACAGAATCCTTAGTTATCAGTTGTATCCACGGAATAAGTTATGGCAGTTTGTAAACTGCTTAGCGATAGTTCTAAGATGATACTGATACAGAACGGCTTTAATAAAGTGTCTACGCTGCGTTACATTATTAATTATAATATTGACAATAGAATGGAAACATTTTCTTTTACTTACTACTTATCAAAAAAGTTATTGTCGCAGAACTACAAATATTAAGTATCGCAATAATGTAGGAAAAACACCAGAAAATTTTACCAAACTAGAAGTAGAAAACTATAGTAGCAACAAAAGAGCAGCACCTGCTTGTAGCACGTGTAAATGGGCCTCGAGGTCCATGATCTCAGCGTCGTCGTAATTCGGTAATAACAACTTTGACTTAAGTGCCTCCAAGTCTGATAGCGACCCTATCTATGAACAGCAGTTCTGAACCCTAATCTATCGTGTAACCTCCTCGTGACCTCTGTCACGCTCGAGGCCATGGTTACAGTCTTCTGGTTTTGTCTTTTTGGGTTTTTTAAATTTTATTAATTGTAATGAACGCTTACAGAGATTTTGGATTTCCATTCATTCATTGTTGCATTTGTCTCCCTGCCCACCCCTCCCCCCCAGTTCGCTCTTCTCTTTGAAAAGTAAAACAAAAATTTTTCCATTGGTATACAATCCCCCCCCCCCCCAAGTACACTCCACTATGCAGCCTTCATTCTGGACTCTTGTCATAACCTAATATATCGGTTTTAAACATTCTCTCCCTCATCTGTTTCAATGCAGGCTACATAATTTATCCAGTTTTTCTCAGTCTCACCCCAACTCCAGTGTCAGTGTCATTCTACAACAGTGGCACCATGCAGTATTTGTCCTTTTGTGACTGAAATATTTCACTCAGCATAATGTCCTCCAGGGTCACCCATTTTGAAGAATATTTCATGTGTACCTAGTTTTTCAATGCAGTGTAGTATTCCATTATGTGACTATACCAGAGCTTCTCTATCCATTCATTTGTTGATGGGCACTTAGGTTATTTCCAACTCCTTGCTGTTGTGAACAAAGCCACAGTAAACATGGGTGTGCATATATCTGCTTGGGTGGCAGTTGTGCTTTCTTTAGGGTATATTCCCAGTAGAGGAATTGCTGGGTCAAATGGTCTTTCTATTTGCAACTTTTTGAGAAAGCGCCATACAGCCTTCTACAGTGGTTGCACCATTTTACACTCCCACCAAAGTGAATAAGGGTTCCAGTTTCTCTGTAACCTCTCCAGTATTTGTTGTTTGCTGCTCTGTTAAATTTTGCTATTCTTACTGGGGTAATATAATAGCTCATAGTTGTTTTGATTTGTATCTCTCTTAGAGCCAGGGATTTTGAACATTCATGTATTTGTTGGCCATCTGAATATCTTCTTCAGTGGAGTGTTCATTTCCTGTGCTCATTTTTCAATTGGGTTGTTTACCTTTATCTTGTGGTGCTTGAGTATTTTATAAATTCTAGATATAAGTCCCTTATCTGACATGTCATTACCAAATATTTTTTTCCAATCTGTGGCTTCCCTTTTTACTCTGCTGAAGTTTTTAGATGTTACAGTCTGTTTTATTCTACTTGGCTGAGGTTCTTCCTCTTTCTTACAGAGCCCCACCTTTCCCAATACCATGGTGTCTGTCACCAGGGACTGGTCTAGTCTGACAACGTGCCAAAGTAAGAAAGACAAAGCTTCACCTTCTTGCCTCTTAACTGAGCACTCTGATTACACTTCTTCAAGACAGACTTGTTCTTTGGACAGTCCCTGGGATAGTCGGTGCTCCACTCTAACACCACAACTTAAAGCCATTGATTCCTCTTCAGTCTTATTTTCCAACTTTCAAATGTGTAGGAAGCAATTGAAAATGTCATGACTTGGATTAGGTACAACTTAAGTTTTTAAACTGACATCGTACCTCTGTAGCACATTGGAGGGGTCCTTGACCACGACTACTGTTACCATGGGTGTTGATTATACATCCAAGTAAAATGAAATAATTAGACAGTTTCAGTTTTTCTCCATTGTGATAACTGCCTTTTGGTCCAGTGGTGACCAAGAGTTTTGACCTAGTGCATTACAACCAAACCACTGCTGTGCAGCCCTTTGCCCATCTTTCTCCTTGGAGCAGGTTAACCTTGAGGAGAATGGGAATCCCAGAACACTTGATTGTGCTTATGCGAAGCCTAACTTGGGCTAGGAAGCAGTCCTCAGAACAGGGAAATCCTGTCTCCATACCTTCAATCTATGTGCAGAACAGATACCTTCAGGAGGCTGGGCTTTTTGAGGAGAAATGTGGCATCAGGATTGGAGGAAGATTCAAAAGCAACCTATGTTATTCAGATGACACAACCTTGATTGCTGAAACTGAGGAGGACCTTGCTTGCTGCAAAAGGTTAAGGACTGTAGTCTTCATCAAGAAGACAAAGATTCTCACCACTGGGCCAATTGGCAGCACCAAGAAATTGAGATTATTAACAATTTTCAGCTTGCTCGGCTTTACAATCAACACTCTTGGCACCAGCAGTCAGGTAAATCTGCTATTAGGGACCTTTGCAGAGTACTGAGAAGCAACGATGTCAGTAAGAGACTAAGGTGCATCTGATCCAGGCCATGATCTTGCAGTTACTTGCTATGCATCATGGTTTTAGATGACTCACAGAGTAAATTAACATAGTAAATTCAACATCCTTGAAAGTATGTTGAGACATATAAGCTAGACTCACCAAAAAAATTCTAGTCATAAAAAATTACAAGAGCATTTTTATAAAGTAACAATTTTGTGATGTTACCCCACTAACAGGGTCACCAGATCCAGCCCACTTCACTCTTGGTTATACCCCACTGAGACATACCCTCCCCCCTTCCCCATTGCCTTGGCAGCTGACTCTTTAGTCTCATGAGTCCAGCATACAACTCAGCCCTGTGTTGTGGAACCAACCTGGTTGCTCTTCAGAAACACCAAGGCTTTCAGATTTCACGTAGAACCTTGGGCTCTTGGACTAGCTCCCTCCTCCCCACCCCGAAAGACCCCCTATCTGCTTCCTAATTCCCTGCCCAGGGCAGCAGATCCCACCCAGAGAGTGCCTCAGGCCAGGTGTTGGGTAATTGACTAGCCTCTTCATCCAGGTGTCCTCTTCAGGGACTCCAGAGACCTTTGTCACAGTGTCTTTATAGGTGGCAGATCTGTGTGCTCTTGCTTTTATCTTGATGGGGAAAAGGGAAGTAAAACAGATGAACATTAGTCAACAAGAAGAAGGTTCCACATGGAGTGTTAGCTATAAGTTGGTTCCAGAAGTGACTTTTGAAGTTTTTAGGGAACAAACATACTTCTTAAATTTATAGCATCATATTTCAATAGTTCCTATTTTCGAACAGTTGCTCAAAATTCTAAGTTCGTATAAATGTGATGGATAATACTTAAGCTTGAAAATAGTAATAATTTACCATATGCCAAAGGAGTGTAACTTACCAGGAATTGCACTGCTAATCCAAAGGCGATTTGAGTCTGTCATCTGCTGCAAGGGAGAGGCATTCTCATCCTGCACAGTTTATAGCCTCTGAAAACTGACAGCTAAGAGTCAGTTCTCACTGAAAAGCAGTAAGTGATTTGAGACTTGCTTTTCCAAGTGAAGAGTACTGAATTTCTCACTGACCGCCAAAAGAACAAGCAAATTAGTCTTGGAGGAAGTTCAGCCAGGATGCTCCTTAGAGGCAAAGATGGGGAAACTTCACAAACTTTGAATATGTTCTCAAAAGGTACCAGGCCTTGGGAAAAGAGGTCCTACTGGGAAAGGTGGAGTGTGGATGAAAGAGGGAAGCACCTCAAGGAGGTGGATTAGCCAGTGACTGCCACAATAGATGAAATGGTGAGCTTGTTGCAGGACAAGCAAGGTTTCACAGTCTGTTCACAGTGACTGGGTGTCCTCTTTCGACTCAGCAGCGCCTACCTTATTTGACATTGACTCATTTCCTTTTCATAACAACCCTGTGAGAGAGATTCTGTCTCTGTTCCTAAAGCCTCTTTGCTTCAAACATGTGGTTGAAGTTAAAATCTGCTGAAGATTCCTGAATTCATGGTGTGCAGCGCGGGGTCCAGACCGTGCACTTGTATTGAGTTGTACTGTGGGCAGAGCACTCCTGTGTACTTGGCAAAGCTGGTGTACAGAAGAGACTTAGTTTTTAAACTTCAGAAGTTTAAAATCCCAAAGAAAGGACCCTCTAGCAAAATCAGTGCAGTTACAGCACACAGGCTGGGGATCCCGAGGCCTGGAGCTCCCAGGGCAGGGGCCATGTCTTCTCGTTTGTTCTATTTCTAATGTCAGAGTTAGTGTTTCTTGTCTAAAGAAGTAAATACCTAAACAGTGAGCTGGTATTTCAGAGACTCTGCTGTTTTCATCCTGTAGGTTGAGGATGCCTGGAATCCTGGTCAGAACAATGCAGTAATTGTTGGAATAGGGGATTTAGAAAAGCAGCAGCATAATATTTAAAGTAAGCCAGTTCTTTGAGATTTGACTTTCTTTCATAGCAGAATGAAAAGAATAACAGTTAAACCTGCTTGTAATGTTGGAGATTTTAAAAGGAGCATTAGCTGTTGTGACAGATCTTTTTGGTACAAAGCATGAACCAGCTGGAATGACGTGTCCCCAGGACTGTTACTATCAAGCAGGGACTAAATTGATTGTGGTAATGAAGGCCAAGAACAGTAACATAATAACTGAAGGAAGGGTTGCTTTGGGTTCTGTAGTCTGTGGAAATACAGCACAGTTTGAAGGAAAACATGGGGTTGATGGTTTTATCTGTTGGGGATGTAGGGCTATGGGGTATGCATAAAAGCATTAGTATGGGTCAGCACTGGTACTGCTGGGATAGAAGCACTTACTCTTTGCTCTTGTATTTGAATTCACAGGAGAGAGGGAACATGAAACAAAGCCGAGAAGAACCAGAAAGCGCAAGGAAGGGAAGGAGAAAGGCCCGAGATCCATAGCAGCCCCAGCAGAGGATCCAGCTCCTCCGCCTAGCTTTCGTGTAAGAGGGCAAAATAAAAGCACTTCCAGTTTCTTCAGAGAACTGCAAGAAGAACTGCACTGTGTCCCTACTGGAGTCTCCACAGACTTTCCTCCAGAACCAGAGGCCCTTGCCACAGTGTCCCCCTCACCCCACAAGAACAACAGAAAGCTCATAGAGGTGGTAGAATTTCACAGCAGACGTAAAAGAAAACTGACACCTGGGCACGACGAGAACGCAGAGGTAATGTGGTGGTTTGTTTCTGTGATATTGGGGTGTTGGATGCATGACTCATACTCCACCTGGCCACTCTCATATAGGAATACTCTCTAGAAGATTCCTGGACTAAACAGTTGTACTTGGTTTCTTAGAGGAAAAGGATAGGCAGCAAAATCTGCCAAAGGAAGAAGGAGGTGAAGCCTAGAGGAGACCAGCCTCGCTTTCCACCACGTAGAGTCGCAGAGCTTGTGCTTAATTACCGCAGAAGCAATGTGACGACACAGAGGTGCTTTTACCTGTGAATGGGCTCTTGGGCCTGAATATAGGAATTTTTGAGGATCAGTCACATAACTTTTTGCTTTGACTGTCACCAATTTGTTAGATGTTATTGAGTCTACACGTAGCAACCCTGTAAACAACAGATATACCCTAGCCCTATCCTCTACCACCTTCGTAATCCTTGTTGTGCTTAATGCACATTCTTCTGTCATTGTCCAGCTTTCAGATCAATGGGAAATCGTTGAGAATACCATGGCTTGGATTTGGCTTTCTAAATTGACACCCTTGCTCTTGAGCACTTACTTTGGAGAAGCCCTTGAGATCAGATTTCCCCAGTGCAACATCTTTTGGCTTCTTGACTGCTACTCCCATGGGTGGTGGTTGTACTTTGAATGGTGCTGGAGAAAATTCAAGCATTCATTATTATTTCTAGCATTCCCACCCTGCTAGCCACTGTTCTAGACTTGGAGGAGAAAGTAGTGAACAAAATACCTCAGCCATGTGCAATTTCTGATGAGAAGACAGTTTGATTTCTTTGAAGACAAGTTAGGTATGGATGCTCAGTCTTTCTACATGGGTTACACTCTGTCATCATCAGGATCACTGCTGAAATCCAGATACTCCGTTTTACCCTCCTGTCCTGCCTAGCACATCATTTGAGAAGCTGGACTGTATGAGGAAGAATGTGACAACAGGACTGGAAAATGCCTTCATTATGCAAATGATACAACTTTGCTTAGAGAAATCGAAGAGAATTTGAAGAACTTAATGCAGAACATCAAAGACTACAGCTTTCAGTGCTGGTAAAATCATCTTATCAAGGAATTCTTCACAATGCTAAGGAGCAAATGTGTCAGTTTAAAGTCTGAGGTGTACCTTACCCAAGCCATGGTATTTTCCATTGCCCCTTTGCATCTGAAAGTTGGATGATAGATGACAGAAGGATGACAGAAGAAGAGTGCTGACTGTCCGATCCTGTGGACTGCAAATGGCCAACAAGTCTGTCTTGTTCCTGTCAGTGCTCTTTACACACGAGGATTTCAGAGGCAGTTAATCGCAGGAGAGATTACTCATCCTTCTTCTGTGGAGCAGCTGGTGGATTCCAACTGTGCTCCTTCAGGATTACAGCACAGCCTCTTACCACTAGGCCACCAGAGCTCCCATAAGCCTACACCAGTACTTCCATGGTGTCATGAGGTAGGAAAGATGAGGTGTGCTGCTTGGAGAACTGGACTGACGGAGTAGATAGCCACCCCTCCTTGGTTTCCTGCAGCTGTCTTGGACTTCGGTTTCTTCTTACACTCACTTACCTTCCTGTTTCTGAAATGGAATCTTTTCTTCCTGATAGAGAAGATGGGAATTGCACAGAATGGCTCTGCATTCCATGTCTTTTCAGTGAACCCCTGCAGCGAGCTGGCAGCCGTCCTCTTCCTGCCCTGAACGAGCTTTCAAAAGCCTGCCCACCTTGCTCCGAGTTGTAACTTATTGACCTTGTGTCAGCATAATTTTTTTTCCATTGTCTTGGATGCTCTGCGTTTCCTTCTGTTTTTACTTTAAATGTCGAAATGTGTGTCTAGTAGAAGAAACACAACATGCTCATGTTAAAAAACCAAAACTGGCGAGCTCTGGTGGCCTAGTGGCAGGAAACTGCACTGCAATCCCAGAGGTGCGTGGTTCAAATCCACCAGATGCTCTGCTGAAGAAGGAGGGACAATCGCCTCCTGTACCAGTCAGATCCAGTTTGACGGTACACACATTAAAAAAAAAAAAAAACAAAAAAAACTACACACCCATAAATCCTTGAAAAGATTTTAGAAGTACAACGATGATGTTGCAGCATGTGAAGAAATGCCAGTTACTGTAATACTTATTGTTAAGATATATTCTGGATCTAGAGAATGCCAGATAAAAGAATATGAAGCCGGTTGGGGTTGCTTATTTTTGCCTAGACTTTTAGGCTTGTGCTGTCAGTACCATGGTTAAGTTGCATTCACTAAAGTAGGTTCTTATGCCATGACATGGGAACTGAGCCACAGTTTATGTAGCTAGCTTATTGTCCATTCCCCATATCTACCTATCAGTAAACTGTCTGCTAGTGTCATCCCATCTGTAATCCAGTAACTATGAAAAAAGTTTGAAAGGGTTGGGTAAGAGATCCTTCTCTCTGCAAATAATTACTTGTTGCCATCTCAGCCTACTGCCCTCAGAGAGGATACCATTTAGTGGGGGAAGCAGCAGAGATCCAAGTAATTTGACAGGACAGCATTGAATCTGACAAGTTGACATGAAGCTGGTTCTTGGGAAATGGGGCATCAAATCTACCCACTCAGCACTATTTCTGCCACTTCTCATATCAGCTATTCTTACATATTCTCTGTCTGATTTGATAACTTAGTGCATTCATCACAGAGAACTCCTGGAAACACTGTTACTACAATAATCTATAAAAGAGTCAAACTCAGGGACCCACTGGAGACACCTGCCCTTGGGTTAGTAGTGAAACACCTTGTGGACAGTGCCACCACTGGTCCCTGTAGACGTTAATAATAGAGCAAAATATTAGCAGACAAGTGTCTGGGGTTCCCCGAACTTCAGCACCTCCAGGAAACTGCTTGCCTTTCTAAGGATAGAAGTTCGCTTTAAAAAACAAACCAAAAAACATGCTTTAGGTGAAAGTTTACGTAGATATGTTTCCCCTGAAATGATTCACACATTAAGTTCTATGAAGTTCTGTCACCACCACCACCCCCATCCTGCTCTCCTGTTCACCTTTTATGGGGTTTCTCTGCCTCTTTTTGCTGCTTTATCTTTGCATGTGGGCAGATTGAGCATCCTTGTCCTGTGACTGGTCCAAAGAGCACAGCTAAATGGATGTTAACTCTCCCTTCTGGGCGTGTCTGTCTGACAGAACAGTGATCTAGCTAAATGGGTATTAACTCTCCCTTCTGGGCGTGTCTGTCTGACAGAACAGTGATCTTTGGGAGTGCCTCAGTCCACTTAGAAGAGGGCCTAAGAGCTGTAGGCTCAGTCCCTCTGGTCTCTATCAGGCCAGGAAGTCTAGTCTTTTGTGAGTCTCCATTTTTCTCTTCTAACAGGGACCTTCTTTTCGTGTTTGTGGTAGGAATGGTCAGCAGTGGGACCTGGGCACAATCAGCTCTGGTCACAGGCTGGTGGAGACAGTGGTTCATTTGGGCCATTCACCTATAGGACTCATTGCTTTCTTAACTCCCCTTCGCTCAAGTTGGAAAGAGACTGATAGTCTTTTTCTTTAGTGGATGCTTATAACTTTTTTAAGACCTACATGCTTGTCTTCTCGGTAGAACATGCATTGTGCTTTATGAACCATGCTGGAGAAACTTGCTGGCTAGCAAACACCCCATGCTGCCCTTGAGTGAACTTGGCTGCTGGCTCTTCTGTGTGCAGGTTCTTTAGCCTTTATGCTCTGCTGTTGTTATTGACATCCTCTCATCCCTGCTTGTCTGATTCACTGAATCTGGGATGAATAGTCCAGGGCCCTGGAGTCCAAAGAATGCACTGCTCCTGCTCTGGCTCTCTGACTGGGGGACCCGTTTGAGCCTCTGAGTTCTTTGGGTTTTTAATCAGTCAGCCCAGTCAGGCTGCCCTGCCAGTCTTGATAAAGTTAGCCAGGGCTCCATGCCAGGACCGAGGGGACAGAACTTCACACAATGCAATTAACAACTAAAAGGATTTTCTGGTTCTCTGAAGAAAGATTGTGAAGGAGTTGGTGGAGCCCATGTGTGTTGTCCATGGGAGGTGCATGTGCACTGAACCTTTACTGAAGGGGCTAGTGGCACGAAGAACCTGGTGATACAGTGGTGCAGAGTTCACCTGCCAATCAAAACTTCATCCAGTGGCTCCAAAGGGAGGAGACCAGCAGTTGGCCCCCACAAACCTTCCAGCCAGAAAGTCCTATGGGTCAGACCTCCCGTCTTAGGGTATCCTGCTGTCATTCCAGCCGGGAAGCCCTGTGGGTCAGATCTGTCCCAGGGACTCATGCTGTCATTCCAGGCAGGAAGCCTTGTGGGTCAGATCTGTTGTCCTGGAGGGTCATGCTGTCTGTTCCAGCTGAGAAGCCCTGTGGGTCAGACCTGCTGTCCTAGAGGGGCATGCTCTCAGTTGACACAACAGCCATGCCATAGGGTGAGGAAGAATGGGCTAGCAGAGAGAAAACAGCCTGTACAAGCAGAAAGCTTACTGTACTCAGAGAGCTCCAGGAAACTGATATGAGTGGGAACCTGGACAGGGGCAAGCTGTGGCCCAATAGGCAGTGGTAAGGCATTTGGATTTTAATGAATTGAAAACCCCCAAAGAACTTTCAGTGGGGATTAATGGTGATTTAGGTGTTAAAAAGATCACTCCCACCGGGATTAATGGTGATTTAGGTGTTAAAAAGATCACTCCCACCCCTGAGTGGTGGGAAGCCTCTGAATTTGGGGTGCACCAAGATTAGGGTTTCTTGCCTTGAGTCAGGAACGGATTGGGATGGCCTAGACTTGGGATTTAAGGAATGAATGAGGGTTCTTGAATGGGTGTAGGATAGCCTGTGCACATTAAGAATATGTGTATGATTACATTTCATATGCATAAGAACGTATACATGACGACGTCCTATGCGGATAAGAACGTATGACAGTATTCCAGTAGGAACATATGTGTGCTATGTCCCATGAGCATGAGAACATACATGCGACAGCTTCCTGGGAGATTGAGAACATACTGATGAC